TACTTTTACTAGTAAACTCTGCAATAACTTACATGAGTGAATTCCATGTCTTCATTGTCGTCGATGGATGGTACAGTGACTTTGCCCTGAGCCTCGTAAGGATAGTCGTAGATATCATTTGAGAGTTTGCAAATTTCTGCAATGAAAGACAATTATAGTGCAGTTTATTCTTGATATCCATTAGACATTATGTACTTTCCTTTCCCTTTGTGTCATTAGATGTAAGCACTGGAAAATCCTTCAAATATTTGCGATACTTTTTCTAGAGATGTACATGAAACCTGGCAATATTTGACTTACTCTTAATGTAAGGGACTTGGTCGGTCATCATCTGGTAGAAGATATGGTAGCCACGCTCGGCAGGGGCCTGGGACACCACGCGAGCCTTCTCCAGCAGGTACACCTCGATGTCAGCACCGGAGAGCTTGCCGTTGGGGGCGAAGTGGATGCGGATGAACTTACCCTGAATAAGAAAAGAAAAACATATTTCATACGATAAAGGACAATACTTTTACACACAATCGCGTGCTCGTTATTGCTTTGCATATGTGTTTGGGCGTATAGGGCAGAAAATTAGCCATACGTGATACTTACGAAACGAGAAGAGTTGTCGTTACGGGTGGTCTTGGCGTTGCCGTAAGCCTCCAGCGGAGGGTTGGTCTGCACGATCTGGTCCTCCAAGTTCTGCATGCAAGAACGATTTGAGTGGTATCTGATATTCACGTGATTGTTTTTTACTTGTGCAATGTGCACTAATGATAATTTTTAATAAAATGTATATGTGCACTACAATCACTAACAGAATGTGTTATGAAAAGTTAAGTTACCGGCTTGTTCTCGTCGTCCTTCTTCTTGGTGGTGGCGCCGACGTTGGCGAAGTAAGACAACACCTTCTTCGTGTTCTCTGTCTTTCCGGCGCCAGACTCGCCACTGGGGGGAAAAGTGTTGGCATCTATGTAAAGATTGATATAAGCATGCAAAAGCACAGTTACATAAATATATTTACAGACACAGTCTCTATTTGTATTTCAAAACAGTATGTGCGTGTGCTATATAGATCAAGGCGACAGAAAGAGAACTGAAATTTATAATCGGCTCTAGGAAACACCGTACATATAGCGGCGACAAAAAACCTTTAAATTATAGGCCAGTTTCGTTACCACACATACAAGCATAGACATACATAAACATGTGTGTGTGTGTGTATACATACATACATGGAGATCCGCATTTTTACCGAGTGCCCACGGGGAGTGAGTGTGAAACTTCGCTATCCGTACTCATGTATGAGTAGGTAGGTAATGTCTATGGATGCTAGTAAGCGCCTAGTTGCTCCCTTTTTTGTTGGGTCGTTGTGCGAGTGGTAAAATTCACGTGCATATCGAATCCCGATCGTTATACATACATACATGATCCGTCATATATACATATATATGATTTATGTGTATATATTGTATATATATGTTGTATAAGTATATACCACACACACCACACATATACATACATTCACACACACACACACAACACACACATACACACACATTTATATATGTATATATATATATATATATATATATATATATATATATATATATATATATATATATATATATATATATATATATATATATATATATACAAGTGGAAGAAAAACGCAGAAAAAATATTAATAAAACACTATGCAGTGCCCATGTATCTGTGTGTGGATTTTTATAATGTATATTTGCTGGAATGTTTTGAGAAAACTAGATTACATTGTTACTTACGTGATAAGCATAGACTGATTCACGGCAGCTGAAAATGAGTTATGAGAATATGAGTGATTTATTAACAAAATCAAACTCTTGAGTTAAACTTTTACTTTCTGTGTTACTCATATATAAATAGTAATATCGGAACTTGCTTAATTTCATGAAAATATTGAATAAAGAAAAAAACAAAACTCTATAATGCTAAATGATTATCAATATTATATTTCAAAAATGTAACTTACATTGCAACATGTCCATGTAGGCGCCGTCGGAGATGGCGAAGAGATGGGGAGGCACCTCATTGCGCCTCTTGCCCTGGTAGATCTTGACGGTGCGGTTGGTGTAGATGGGGTAACGCTTGTAGGGGTTGATGGCGATGCAGAAGAGGCCAGAGTAGGTGTAGATCAGCTTGGCCTGGTAACGGCTCTTCAAGTTGTACAGGACAGAAGCATCGTTGAGGAAGGTCAAGTTGGACACATCTTCGCACTTTTCATACTTGGGAGGGTTGACCTGAACCACAGTTTCCGTCTTGAAGTCCTTGACCTCACCGCTCTTCAGTTGGACGCTGACTAGTTTGTCACCCTTGGCGCCCTGGATCAAGCCCTCAACGAAGCCCTCCTTATCGTCAGGGACCCAGCAAGACTTCTTGGGATCGTAAGGCTTGGTCTGGTCGAGCATTCGCTGTTCAGCCGAGATGAACAGGAACTCGGTGGGGTCGGGGTCGGGACCCGTGCTCTTCACGACGTGGCCGGGCATAGTGGCGGTGGGTTATGAGTTGTCGAAATCAGACTCGCAAGAAAGGCCCTGGAACTTCCCTGAGGAGAGACAGAATTACGCATTCACTGAATCGCTCCTGCTTCGTGTGGCAAAGGCATGTATGTGCAGTCATGCCCTTTGTGAGTTTAGTTTATTAATTGTATGGAACAGTTGGCGCAAGTTTTTATTACTTCCTTGATTTACGGATATATATATATATATATATATATATATATATATATATATATATATATATATATATATATATATATATATATATTATATATGATTCTTATAATACTTATGCTATATATATATATATATATATATATATATATATATATATATATATATATATATATATATATATATATATATATATATATATATATATATATATATATATATATATATGTGTGTGTGTGTGTGTGTGTGTATGTGTGTGCGTGTGTGTGTGTGTGTGTGTGTGCATAGTGCAGTATTATAAGAATCATATAATAAATAATAAAAACAATGATCTTAATAGCATAAAAAAACGGAAACAAAGAAGAAATCAAGTGACGTCATGTAGGCCTACTTATTAACTCCATCTTTGTAGGCATTTCACGGAATAGAACTACGATGGGCTTTAACTCAACGAGATCTACAATTATATTATTTTATTCACTGCATTATACACAAAGTATTTGAAAAAATGGGTAATGCTTTATGAGCCTATTACTTAGTACTTTCAATACGGGAAAACTCCATATCGACTACACAGCTCGCTGAACACATTATAAAGACATTTACAAATTTATAATCGCCGTCACAGACACAAAATACACCACGAGTAACATCACCTCCGACACCTTCGCAACACCACCACGCTGTACACCACTATCCCTTCCACCGGCAGGAGGGCTTCTGGTCAGCCTGACCGTTGCTTGCGCTATATATCAGCTTGTAACGGAAAGCGCGAGCCGATAAAAATAATTCCCGTTTTCGTATTTCGAGGAGTAGAAATAGCAATGGGACAACAGGAGGCTTCTCTCCTTGCAACAGTGCCAGTACCCGCACGTCAGCACTGCGTGACGTAGCTCCGCTCTCGCACTGCTCGCTTCACCTCCGCTGTTGAGGAAAATTTGTGCACTTTATTTTCATTATTCTTTTCTCCTTTTTCTAACATTCTTCTTTTAATTACTTTTTAAGCGAATAAACGCTTACTTTAACGATTCGCAAAAATAATAATAATAATAATAATAAAAAATCATAAATGATAATAATAAAGGAAAAGCAGTGCCTATGCCATGCGAACAATTAACGAAAATAGGTATCTAAAAATTAAGGGAACTATTGACAACATTGTGGTTAATATTAGAAATCGAAATGTATTTATAAATGCTCAAATAAGACATTTACCTTTTATCATGAGATATTCATGTACACACGAGTGTGGGGGATTTATTCATGAATAATCTATATGTGTATGTGTGTAAGGAGGTCGCAGAGGGTCAGCAGAGGGACGCAAAGCTTTGAGGAAACAAAATTTGTAGGACAATTTGCAAGCCGGTTCTGCATTTGGAAAATGATGCTGGGGGTCGTGGACGTGTCATAAGTTAAAGGAAGGGTTCGCAATTATAAAAAGTTGTAGAACTACAGGTTGTTCAAAACCATTCTTTTGAGCACGAGAAGAATGGGCTTACAGAAAATCTCAAATGTACCAAACCAATCGTAGACTCTGTTTATATTACATATATCAAATACCTCTTTTGTCGACAAAGTACTTTAGTATTGGCATTGTAGTATTTTGATATAATGATATTGATATGTAGGATACCTGGTGTATATATGACATCATTATAGATGTGACATTTTCGATAACCCACTCCTCTTTAGCCTCATGTTTCGAATAAGTTAGGAACACAGTGAAATATAGAGGCAGAAATAGCAATAACATTACAATCTCCTATTAATATAACTGATACAAAAGACACACACCTGCACACATATCTGTCTATTTATCTATATATGTGGTGTGTGTGTTGTGTGTGTGTGTGTGTCCGTGTGTGTACGTATATATATATAGTTTACTATATATATATATATATATTATATACATATTATGAGTATATTCTCTACATACTATATATCTACGCTATATATACTATATGATATCTAATGAGGTAGGTACGTATAGGTATATCCTAGCTCTCGTAGGTCGGCAGCCTCCTCTCGTCACAACATTCCCTCGCCATCACTACACACCACTCAGCACACAGCACACACACACACCACACACCCACTACACACATAGTATATATATGGCTATTATACTATTTCTCACCATATCTATATTATTCA